CTCCCCCTCCCCGTCCTCCCCCTCCCCCTCCTCCGCCTTTCTCTTCTCCTCTCATGGCCAATCGAACTATTGCTACTGCACGACTTAGGGCCAGATCCCACTAGCCCCTATCGTTCATTTCTGCCCGTCGATCTTCGTAATCGAGGGTGAAAAATGAATAATCCCGGGTAGTGGGATCTGACCCTTACTCCGTTGCAACTAGTTGTGCCGTTGCCATTCGTTCCCCCCCCTCCTTTTTTTTTTTGTTCCTTTCTTTTTTCCAACCCCTTTGTGTGTTTGATATGGCCAATCGCTGAACTCACTCAGGTGGGTGGCACCCCCACGAACGGTTTGAGAAATATGAATCAGACCCAAGTTCGAATCCAGATACAATCAGATGACCAGAATAAAATAGTAATCCTGAGTTACCTGGGCCCGGTCAATTCAATGACGACCCATCAAGAAGATCAAGGCCGTCGTCCTTCTAAAGGGGGGAGGAGGGGGGGAGGGAAAGCCATCGGCGGCATCATCTTTCCCGCCGTGTCACGCCACAAGTCTCGGGTTCAATTCCCATCACCTTCACCGCTATTGCCTTCTCTCGCCGGTCTATCTTCTTCCTAAGCACTTTCCTCGGAGAGAGAAGACTTGAGAGATTTTCAGCGATCTGCTCTCCGCCGTTTGTCGTTTTCTGCCTCGTCTGCTCACGGCCAGACACGTCAGCATCATATTTCCTCACAGCCTGACAGATGATTCAGAATTACTTAACTGTATTTTATTCTGCCCATGTGATTATGTATCTGGATTCGAAGTTGGGTCTGATTCATATTTCAACAGTTCATCTGGGTGTGGCACCTGAGCCGTAGGCGCGTTGGTAGCGTGACACGTGTCTGCCTTTCTTCTGCTCACGGGTGTTAAAACACGACGTCAGCATCGTCTCTCACAGCGGCACACGTAAGCATCGCGCCCTCACTGACACGTCAGCGCACAGTTTTGTCGTATCTGCTCTCGGCGTTACACGTCAGCATCATCTAACCACAGCGTGACACGTCAGCAAACAGTTTTCTGCTCTCTTCTCTGCTCACAGGAGCTGATTCCACGTCAGCATCGTCTCCACGTGCAGTGTTACATGCGCACAGTTTGTCTTTTCTGCTCACGGCTTGACACGTCAGCATCATCAACATCCTCTCTCACAGCGTCACACGTAAGCAGCGTGCTCTCACAGACACGTCAGCACACAGTCTTGTCTTTTTTGCCGACGGTTTTACACGTCAGCATCATCTCCACCCAGCGTGACACGTCAGCGTTTTCTGCTCACAGCCTTGCACACGTCAGCGCAGATTGCACGTCAGCATAGTCTCCTCCCAGCGGTACACAGCGCACAGTTTTGTCTTTTCTGCTCACGGCTTTACACGTCAGCATACATCATCCCCTCACAGCGTTACACGTCAGACCACAATTCCATTTCCTCTTCCTTTCTTTCTCTGCATCATCCCCTTCTTCCTTCTTTTTTTTTTTTTTTTTTTTGGTGTGAAGGGGGAGCTGCACCTGCTTGAAACCGGGTCCAGCGTCCTAATTAACTCATCAGAAGCCTTTTTTTTTTTTTTTTCTTTTTTTTTCCCTTTTTTTTTGAAAAAAGGTCGCAGCCAATTAACAACAAGGCTCCGCCATCAGAGTGAACTATCTACTGAATCATCATGGGAAACTTCCCCAGCGCCATATATATACCTACCCTCCCCCTTCCCGCCCCAACCCCCAATCAAGTCCTTAATTAATCTCTAACTCACTCTCGTCCTTCATCTTGTCCTTTAATCTTATCCTCAATCATCACTTTAATCTAATCCTAAGATTATTAA